AGCCGAAGTCGGACGCCCAACCAACCGAGCCACCCAGGCGCCCCGTGATCATTTCTTAGAGTAGTGACGTGTTCCCTTTCACCCATTATTTCCCCCTTTTTCATTAGTGTGGAGATGTTCCTCTTATGGCACAATTGGGGGTGATATTTTACTATAGAAACATCAGTTTTTCTTGTAACTATGGATTTTACCTGTTCTTGGATCTCCTAGAATGGAAGGGGACCGAGAAAGCATTTGTTTTCTGAAACCGGGACAGTGAGGCCGGTGGTCTGGAGTAACTTGCTCAGGATCGCAGCGCTGCTCCGTGGCCCGGCCCGCGCTAGGCCTGCGTCCTTCCACTCGCAGCTCTTGGCCTAATTTTATTTTACGCCCTGGTGCCTCTTACTACATGAACGGATTAAAGAATTGTAGACTAGGGACGCCTGGGTGGCTCAGTCGGTTAAGCATCTGATTTCAGCTCAGGTCATGATCTCACGGCTCGTGGGTTTGAGCCCCGTATTGGGCTCTGTGCCGACAGCGTGGAGCCCGGAGCCTGCTTCGGATTCTGTGTCTCTCCCTCTCTCTGCCCCGCCCCCACTCATGCTCTGTCTCAGTCTCTCAAAGATGAATAAATATTAAAATAAAAAAATTTTTAAGTTTATTTATTTATTTGGAGTGGGGGAGGGAGGGACAGACAGAGAAGAAGAGAGAGAATCCCAAGCAGGCTCCGCGCTGTGGGGCTTGAACCCATGAACTGTGAGGTTATGACCTGAGCTAAAGTCAAGAGTCGGGCGCTTAACCGACCGAGCCACTCAGGGGGCCCCACAAACACATTCTTTGATGTGAGGAAACTTGTAGCATTAAACAAATAACTGTTCAGCAGTCTGGATGTGAAGGCTCACAGATGGAAATGCACAGGCCTGGGCCTGGGACGTAGCAGGAATCTACTTTTTAAAAATTTTTTTTTTCCAACGTTTTTATTTATTTTTTGGGACAGAGAGAGACAGAGCATGAACGGGGGAGGGGCAGAGAGAGAGGGAGACACAGAATCGGAAACAGGCTCCAGGCTCTGAGCCATCAGCCCAGAGCCTGACGCGGGGCTCGAACTCACGGACCACGAAATCGTGACCTGGCTGAAGTCGGATGCTTAACCGACTGCGCCACCCAGGCGCCCCAAGGAATCTACTTTTTTAATGACAAGACGTTTTTGGGAATTGACTGTTATGTCCTGACAGATTGCAGATTTGTAACGGCACGTGTTTTATGAAAATGATGCGTCACTGAATTTTTTTTTTTTTTTTATGTTTTACATCGGGAGGATTTATGTGAGGGTGGGTCATTCCATGACTGATACCCATTACGCTGTCTAGGGTGGACCCACCGAGAACTTGGGTTTCTAATGTCCTTTCTAATGTGCCATCAGCCTGACGGCACCATCTACTTGGTCTTTGAAGGCCCTTTGTGTCCGAGAGCCGTGGAAAACGTGGCTTCTGTAGGGGATGTGGAGCCACAGGCATTAAAACCAGCCATCCAAAATAGCCCTGTTTCATGACCTGTTTCCTTTAAAAAGTTATCCTTGCCCATGGACCAGAGGCAGGTAGTAGGCTTTGATTTTTGGCTCCTGTAGAGTTCACTGGAAAGGGACATGAGAAATTAGCACTGAAGATCTGGGGCAACTAAAACCCACTTAGCAATGCCTGGATGTTGTTCCGCCTCTAATAATCAAAGGCAAGTTCGTATGTTACCGTTTCCTGAACGCCAATAAGCTGAAAGATGCGAGAAGTGCTCTGTAATCGCTAATAAGCTTTGCAGAATGAAAGGCATTATCATTATCAGAAGTAGAAGACCGTCCGCTACGGTGTCTCTGTGTGACAGTCTACCCTTTAAATAAATCGGGACGTCCTGGAGCTGGGACCTTGGCCCCTGGCTTTCTGGTGAGGGAGAGTAGCTTATGCCCTAGGTATAGACTCTGAGAACCGGGACACTGGTCCCGCTTCCCCAGCGATATTTTCAAGAGTGCGATATCCTTGCGGTGTAGCCCAGAGGAGTAGAGGGGGAAGGGCAGCGGTGTGTGTGCGGGACCCCCGGGGTTCTTTTCGGCATGATGAGAAATCGTGCGGATGCTTCCGGCCGAGCTCCAACACGCGTGTCATCTCTCTCCCTTTCTCGTTTGTCATAGAAACCCAGCTGCTGCTCCGTATGAAGGACATCCGTCATTTCTTAATGCAAGATATCGCCTTCTTGTCCGGTAAGCAGACTTTTCGTATGTTTAGACTAGAACAGTGTATGAATTTCTTTTTGTAAATTATGTATTTCCTCACTCTCTAACGCATGTAGTTTTTTTTTTTTTAATTAACTAATTTATTTTGAGAGACCGAGAGCGAGCGGGGGAGGGGCAGAGAGAGAATCCCAAGCAGGCTCCTCGTTGTCAGTGCAGAGCCCAGCGTGGGGCCCGAACCCACGAACTGTGAGATCGTGACCTGAGCCAAAATCAACAGTTGGATGCCCAACTGGGTGAGCCACCTAGGCGCCCCAAATGAACAAATTTCTTAGCAAAACGAGTGTGGTCACCCGTTTATTATATAAGTAGCCATACACATAGGTGCACGCGGAGTTTGGGAAGCACTGTTTTATTTATTTTTTTTAACTTTTTATGTATTTAAGTAATGTCTGCACACGACGTGGGGCTCAACATGATCCCGACATCGAGAGTTGCTTGCTGAGAGGCACTATTTTAATGAACGTTTATGCATTATGCACATGGTTGCTAAACAAATAGATGTTTACAGAATAGAGGTTTTAAGTGTGTTTCGATTCGTGACGAAAACAATCTTGCTACCCTCGCACGTTTGCCTTTCAGACACGCCTTTGGAAATCTGTGATAGGTGCAAGCAGAATTCTGTGAGAGAGGGTGGTAACTGAGGTGACTTCCTGGAGATTTTCTCTTCTGCCATAGCTCTGATTATTTAAAAAAAATTTTTTTTAATGTTTACTTATTTTTGAGAGAGAGAGACAGACTGCGAGTGGGAGAGGAGCAGAGAGAGGGAGACACAGAATTGAAGCAGGTTCCAGGCTCTGAGCTGTCAGCCCAGAGCCTGACGCGGGGCTCGAACTCATGAACTGAGCCGTGAGATCATGACCTGAGCCAGAGTTGGACACTTAACCGATGGAGCCACCCAGGCACCCCTCTGATTATTTAAATGTTTCTTACAAATGCCATCAAGTGACCCTAATTAAGCAGCTTGTACTGTTATATTTTTTTAGAGTTCCATTTACGAGAAAGTTTTACTTTTCACATATATGTTCTATGCGTTGGTGTATGTATATGCATTTGTACGTAGTTTTGAAAAATTGTGATAAAATACTCATAACGTAAAATTGACCGCCTTAACCATTTTTTAAAAAGTATAATCTCCATTTGGGGCGCCTGGCTGGCTCAGTGGGTTAAGCATGTGACTCTTGGTTTCCACTGATATCATGATCTCACAGCTTGTGAGGTCGAGCCCCGTGTCGGGCTCTGTGCTGACGGCATGGAGCCTGCTTGGGATTCTTTCCCTCTCTCTACCCTTCTGCTGCTCTCTCTCGCTCCCTCTCTCAAAAGAAAGAAACATTCAAAGAAAGTATAATCTCCGTTTTATCTTTTTCCAGAGAACAGTTTTTTTTCAGTCCTCAAGGTCTTAGCTCCTGACATGGGTTTTGGTCGAGGTCGTGGGGCAGCACCCACGGGTCTAGATCGGGGTGGGGGTGTTCGGTCCTTTGGGGCTTCACGAGAGCGATTCTGGACTACCTTGCGTAGTAATGTAGTCTCATACACGGCTTGGGAAGCACATAGGCATTGAAGACACTACCTTGGGAAATGTCCCTGATGGCAGTGGCCTCTACTGTGGTCTGAATACCAAAATTCTTCTTCTTCTTCCTCTCCTTCCTCCTCTCCTTCCTCCTCTCCTTCCTCCTCTCC